AAAAAAAAAAAAAAAAACTACATGAAAGTAATTTTTTGCAAAAATCACATGACCCTGTGAAAACATCTCCGGGGCTCCTGGAATCTTGAAGAAGTCCAGAGACCAAGGAGCCTGGAAGCTTAACTTTTATGACCCTTAGTTGACAGAGGAGGAAACCGAGACCACGGAGGGGAAGTGATAGGTTCAAGGTCAGATGGCTTCCAGGGGTGGGGGCAGGATGGGAACCCGGATCTCTGCTCTTAACCCTCACTCTTGCCCTTTGCTACCTGGCTGATGTTTCCCGTGGCTCCCCCGAAGCTGTGTTTGGACCACAGACCCTGTGTTTGTGGGTGCTGTTTCCCTCAGCCTGCCAGCCCCCTGACCTCACAACAGTGCACACTCATCCGTGCCTCCAGCCCCCTCTCCTGAAAATAATCCCCAGCATCCAGTCCTCCCGAGCCGACCTGCCCTGATGTCTCTCACCCCACACCTTGAGTGCCCTGGGTGCTGTGTTTGAGAATCTCACTCCCGGGGGTGCTGTTAGATCCTCGAGGCAAAGACAGAGCCTGAACCCTGTCTGCCTCCCTCAGTTTCATTGCCATTTTGTTTTAGAACTGTTTCCTGAGCATCTGTGTCCGGTGTGTGAGTCAGGTCTCCTGAAGGCTGTCTCCGTCCTCAAAGAAATGACGCAGGTTCCGTATTGCAGAACAGGTTCTGCGGGGTCAGTCTCAGGCTGTGAGGGGCTCCAGGTTTGGGGTCATGGGGGACTTCCTGGGGGAGATGACATCCAGCAGCCATGGGGTGGAGTCGCACTGCAGATACCAGCCCAGGCCAAGGTCTGTGGGGAAACCTGAGCATCAGGTGCTCCGGGCTGCAGAGGAGGATGAAGAGAGGGTGTCATGGACTTGCCGAGGCCAGGCTGCAGGCCCAGGGCCAGTCCAGATGGCCTTTGTACATTTCTCTGCAGACTTTGAACTTGATCCTGAGGTCTGGGAGCCCTGACATCCACAGCAGCGAGATCAAGCCAATCACTGTAGTTGCAGAAATGGATGGGGTAGAGGGGGAGATACTGATTGATTAGAGGGCTGCTGCTGCAGTAATCTAGGGGAGAGATAGCAGGGAACCGAACTTCGGAGGGGCAGCAAGGATAGGAAAGGCAGGTGGCCTTTTCTTCCTCTGACCCTTTACTCCTTCTACTCCATCACTTGAGCCTCTCACTCTTTCTCCAGCACACAAAGCCTGTTCCTACCACAGGGCCTTTGCACCTGCCATTCTCACCTCCCCAACCGCTCTTTCCTTCCATATGGGCATACTGTCAGAGTTCGCACATAAGTGGACAGTGGAGCTGGGATGTGAACCAGCCGGTCTGACTCCACAGCTTCTTGTCATGTTCAGTTGTCCTGGCTGGAGGCAGATGGGCAGTAACAGCAGCATCAGATGTGCTCAAGGACACTATTCCCACACTGCAGCAACTTGGGTCCCGGCTCGACACTTGGGAAGCCTGTGTCCCTGGGCAAGTCGCTGATCTTTCTGTGCCTCAACCCTTCATAAATAGCGGGGGATGCTAGGGGTCCCCACGTCTGAGGAGATCGGAGCCTGAGCCACATCTGCCTGCAGGAACTCGCTGGCGTGGTGCGTGCTGCAGAAGGGACACGATCTGTGTCAGCCCAACAGCTCTGTGGGGCTCAGCCTGTCTGACCCTGTGCACTTTGCTTGGGGCCAGCACTCCACCCTCTCCCCCCGCCCATACCAATACCTGAACCCGAGAACATCCACGGGAAGAGCCCATGGCAACCACGCCCAGGTCGGCTTTCACACAGCCAGGAGGCGCATGACTTATGGTCGCAGGGGGAAGGATGGGGCTGCGGGTCGCTAATCAATACCTACTGTGTGGGTGTGAGGGAGTCGCTACACCAGACACCCCGATGTGCATGTGTTTATTAAAAATGTGTTCCCCATTAGCGCGATCCTCTGAACAGAAAAAGCCTGTCGGCACTTCAACAGGGCTCCGACGTTGGGGCTGCGGCGTGATCTACGGCCTTGCTGCGTCCGCGTGGCTTCTCTTTGGGGTTCTTTGTTTCCTGCCGGGGTGGACCGGGTGGATCTGCACTGGGTACAGAGTTGAGGGTTTCCCTGGATGAGGAGCTGGGTGGTGCAGAGAAAGAATACTGTTCTCGGAGCCGAAGGATGGTCCTGTTCACAGTTTCATCTTTAGCAAGCACAGCATCGTTCAGTCCCTTTATAGGCATTTGTTTATTCCTGCATTTGGTTGTTGATTCGGAGCACATGTTGGCGCTGTGGCAGGCAGACCCAAGTGTGGCCCACATCATTTCAAGCCCTGGTATACGCCCTGCAGTTCCCCTCCCCTTGGTGTGACCATGATCTGTACAGTGATGAGGGTTTGCTGCAGTTTAAACTGCTAAATCAGTTTATCTCTGAGTTTAATCAAAAGGTAGATTGTCCTGGGTGGGCCTGGCTTAATCAGGGGGAAGCCTATAAAACAAGGTCAGGAGCTCCCTGAGGCCAGAAACTGTCTCCCCTCTTGCTGCAGGTTTATACAGCACAAGACAGTGACTTCTGCCACCCACCTACACAAGCCTGAAGCAGATTCTTCCCCAGTCATTCCCCAGGTTGACAGCCTGGGTGGCACCTTGAGTGTGTCCACTCCCGTGAGGTCCTGAGAAGGGGACCCTGCTCGGCTGTGCTCAGGCTTCTGAGCCAGGGAAACCAGGACGCAGGAGCTGTGCGTCAGGTCTCTGAGTTTGTAGCGTCTGTCCCGCAGCAAGAGAAAAGTGGCACAAGCTCCTGTTCAGTGCCAGACGCTATAAAAGATGCTCAGGGTTAAATGATACCCAAGGCAGTCTCCCACCGAATAGGTTTGTACCTACTACCACGCCAGGCTTGTCGTGACTCGAGAACCTGGACTGCCATCTAATTTCCTTTCCATGTGACCTTCGGCAAATCAGATGGCTACTCTGAGCTTCTGTTTTCTCAAATGAAAAAAGGGGCCAGCAGAAGTCTGCCTAAGTGGTTGTTATGGTTGAGATCTCTGATGTCCTCCAAAGCCTCGTGTATTCAGAGGCGGGGCTTTTGGAAGGGGATTGGGTCACAGGGGTGCCGTTATCTTCGGGAGATTAATCCAATGATGAATCCTTGCTGAATGTGCTGTTAGGAGGCGGGGCCAGGCGGGGAGACGCAGGTCTCCGGGGCGTGACCCGGAAGGGTTCGTCTCTCTTCCTGGACGCCATGATGTGAGCGGTTTCCCTCCATCCAGGCCTCTCCACGGTGCTGCCAACCATGCGAGGACTGAAAGCTCTGAAACGTGAGTCCGAATAAAAGTCTCCCTCAACGTGCGGGTGCTGGGTGTTGTGTCCCTGAGATGCACAGGGACCTGAGACAGTGTTCCCGGTGAGGGTGCTTTGGAAAAGACTGAGTAAAGGTAAGGACCGCAGTGTTTAACAGAACCCATCCTTCCTCCCTGACCCTATACACTGTGCCCAAGGACATAAATATCACCCCTTGTTACAAATGAACTACAGCAGGGCCTGCTGGCTGCTGACCTTAATATCCTTCTTGCTTTGTAAGGAAACCTCTAGTTTCAGGAGGGCACACGGAGTCCAGAGCACGTGTGAGGTCGGCCATCAGCTGGGCTACGGATCGATGCAGATATGAGCAGGAAGAGGGTGAGATGTCTTAGAGACGTATCCTTCGGGAAAAGAGATGCCAGATAAGATACAGGACACCTCATTCGATTGGAATTTCAAATCTAAGCAAAAATTTAAGAAATGCATATGTCCCAAATGCTTATGCTAAAAGTTATTTTTCATGCAGCCGTGCAGGTGAGGGTCCCCAGAGGAGGGCCCTACACCCTGTGTATGCAGGTATGGGGAGCTTTGATCAATTCCATGGGTTGGAGGTGCGAGGTCCACCATCCCTGGCAAAGACTCCTCGAGGGGGAAAGATGCTCTCCTGTTCCTGCCTGTATCGGCAGTACCCAGATGGCCCCAGCACACAGTAGGGCTCAAAACAAACAAACAAAAAATAAGTATGTTGAGAAGCTGAAATGAATGAACTACCTAAAGTCTAAGGTTCTAAGGTCTGCAGTGAGGAGGCCAGAATGTCATGCTCTGCTCAACAGAGCTGCCGGAGAGAGGAAAGGTGTCAGGCACAGTGACCACACTGCCAGCGGTGCTACTGGCAGCCAGGGTGGCCAATACCTGTGTGCCTGCCCAGCCCATACAGGCATCTCACAGAAACCCACCAGGTCCGCAGTGCGGCCCCGCCCACCGGAAAGGGAAGCCCAGGGAGGGAAAGTCATTCGACGGAAGTCTCTTATCCGATGGTCTGCGGCAGGAGGAGGGGCCCCCAGGTGAACTGGGACGGCTCCACTCTCTGGTGTCCGTTTGCAGGTCCCCATGCAACCAGTGGGCCCTTTCCGGTGACGAAGATCTGCAAGCATCTGTGCTGGGAGGCGTTCCTGGGTGCCAGGCTTCTGCTGGGTGCGGAAATGACCTCGTGCTCCAAAGAGACGGAGGAAGGGAAGAGCGGCCGGGGCTCTGATCATGGGCTAGCCAGGGTGTGGGAGGTTCAGCGACCCGGTACCGGGATCTGTCCCTTTTCTTCCTCCTCTAACCTCGGTGACACTCACCACCTGTCCCCTGACTCCGATCGGGTGGACCCTGGGCATCGTGGAGGTCACGGCTCGGGGCCCTGCGCCCCCCCACCCCATGTTGCCGCTTCACACAGTTGGCCTGTGGTGCAAGTTCGCGGATGGCCCGCTGATCGGCGATTCGTAAAGTGCCTCATTCAGCCACATGAGCCCAGAGAGGCTTCATAAAGGCTTTTCGAAGATGATAAGAAACAGAGCTGTCTTGTTAAGATTCCGGGGGCCTCAGATATCTTTCTTTTTCTTCTTCTTCTTCTTCTTCTTCTTTTTTTTTTTTTTTTTTTTTTTA